TCTCTCTCTCTCTCTCCTCCCCTTATTTTAAATTTAAAGTAACCCCACTTTTCATCCTGAGGAGACCTAGGAGGTGAGAAGCTGGATTGGAAAGAGGGCTCCTAATGTCAGGTCATTTTTTTTTAGACCTTCCCACACAGTCATCCCGGTTTGTAGGGCAAGGTGGGAAAATAATTCACCCAAGACCACAGATTTAAAGCTGGGATTAGATTCGTCTATCAAAACTGCTAAGTGCTGCACTGTGTCTAAACCAAGAACTAAAGGCGCGTGTTTCCTACCCCGAACCTGCGTCTTTAGCCCTCTCACTGACACCCACGAGGATGTCTTTCCCGCGTCGCGGAAGGATAGCGGCCAGCAGCTTCCTGTGTGGGCATACTACTCAATCTCTGTTGAAGAGAGGGATGGGCCTGCCCCACCCCTGGGTCCAAAACCGCGAAGGCGGGTAAGAGGGCTGAGAGGGTAGGAATTCAGCCAATGACGGGGCGATATGCAAATGTAAACGTCCTTGCTTTCTTAGGGTTGGCTAATCTATCAGCACTCTTACCCAAATCCCTCCTCCTCTCTGAACACTGAACTATTCCGGGCTGGTGTTTTTGTGGCTCTAAAAACTAAGAGGAAAAAAGTCTTGAGGATTTGGATCTAAGTTGTCCCGGCGTCCCCCTACCCCACCGTTCCCCTCCCCTGTGCTACCCCTCAAGGCTCAAAGCTTTGGAGACCCTCGAAGTCTCGCTCTGGCTGAATCCAATCCCAGAGGTCGGGTCTGAGAATTTACCCCATCCCTCGGCTGGCCAGGCTCCTACTGGCTTCACCAGGTCGCTCTCAATTCCTACACCTCCTCCACTACATATTTTTTAAAAAATTCTTACTTCCCACTTCTGGAAGGGAGGGCCTCCGGGATCTCTTCCCTGTCTTTCTTACTCGCTAGGGGGGAAAGCAGTGAAGAACTCAGCGTCCTGACTCAGTTTCCCCATTTACATTCCCTTTCCTGTACTACTGCCCATGCTGAAGGAGCCAGCAATGGTGAGGTGGTAGGCAATGAGGGACGTGCAGGAGGCAGCTGTTTGACTCTCTGTCTTACAGCTTTCCACTTTGTTCCTGTCTCTCCCCCAAATCTAGCTCCAGGGCCCTTCTCGCTCTTTCTCCCATCCTCACCCAATCCTTCACTATGGATCTCATGATGTCCAGCAGCGCTTCCCTACCTATCTGCCAATTCCTTGAAGATGCGAATTGGACACATTTCTTTGGGGGAAGGAAGATTACACAGGAAGAAAACACAATAGAGTACCCAGGGATACAGAACGTCAGAGTGGCACTTCAGAAGTGCTCGGGCAGAGACCCGAAAGAAATTGTCTGCGAGGGTCCCGGTGCAACCACCCGGTGACTGGGATCCTGGAGCGGGCAGAGCCTGAAGACAGCGGGATCGTCGTGCGGTGTCCTAAGACTGGCTCTAGGTCCCCACCCTCTGGTGTTTGGAGCTGCGCGGGAGACAGTCCCACTCAGCACTCACCACCACAGTCCACCGACGTGCGCGGGGCACAAGAGCAGCAGCAGCAGCAGTCCGAGGCGGGAAGGCACCGGCGGCAGCATCCTGAGAACTCTACCGCAGTCTGGTGCGGGCGGGGGTGGGGTGGGGAGTGAAGCTGCGGGGTGAGCCGGGGCGCGCGGGCACCAGGCTTCAGGGCAAACGCGGCGACGGAGACGGCGGCCGGGAGACTAGGGCTCCGGCGGCGGTGGCGGCGGGGGGGCCCATCCCGGGCGAGGAGGGCGCGGCGGAGGCGGAGAGCGGACCCAGCAGCCAGCGCCTGTGTCTCCTGCGGAGCTCGCTGGAGAGAAGAAATCAGAGCCGGGGGCGGGGGTGGGAGGGGAGCGGGGCCGGAGCGTGGGCGGGGGAGGGGGGACAGGGGGGCCACGGGGGTGGCAGTTGCGACAGTCAGGCGGCGGGACTCTTGGGAAGGAGCCGTGCGCCTCGGGGCGGCGGGCGCAGAGCGCAGCGGAGGGCGGGAGCCGTGTGCTGGGGCGGGGCCCGCGCGCGCTCCTGGGTGCGGGTCCCGCCCGCCTGCCCCTCTCCCAGCCTCTGCGGGGTCGTCTCCTGCCATCCCCGGACCTGGGACAGGGAGAGGAGGGATGAATAGAAGAGAAGGGTAAGGGGGAGGGAGGAAGAGGAACTGGGGAAGGGGGACTACTAGCTGGGAGACGTTTGACAGGTTTGTTGACTGTAAAGAGAGAAAACTTCCCAGGAATGAGGGAGTTTGGGGGGGAGGGAAAAGTACGCAGGGATATACAGATGGGGGCCAGGGAGGAAGTCGGTCGGGGGCGCTGGATGCTCGGTAGAAGGCTGTCCAACTCGACCGGGGCCCAACGAACTTTGGAGGCGTTACTTTCTTGCGGATAGCCAACTCCTGCGTCTTTTGCCCCTTCTTCAGCCTCTGTCCCGGCAAGGGAGCGAGCCCGAGGCCTGGGTTCTCACTCCCTAGCCTTGCGGCCTCGGCCAGCCGGTGTTGGGGGCGGACAGTGTGAGGGAGATAAGACAGCAAGTGGAACCTCTCCAGGGCCTGCGCTCCAGCATTCGCTACTCATAAACGTGGCGGAGGGCCGAGGTTGCTGATTTCCAAGAGAAGAGGGGTCAGCGCTGGCTGTGGCCGGGTCTCACTTGTCCGCGGGTCCCTGGAGCCTCAAGTTCCTCCCCCAACTTGGCCAGGGCAGAAGGGGTGGGAGAGCCAGCTGCAGGTGAGATGGCGTTTATCTGATTCTCTAATGCCACAAAAATGTCTTTGATGCCCCTGACCCCCTCCCCACGGGGGGAGATCAAAGGCCTCGTGGGGAGGAGGGACAGCTCCATTCATCAAGCCATGCGGCTGGCAGCGGGCGGCAGCCTCTGCTGCTCTGGCCTGGGGCAGAGGCCCCCCGACGTGCCCCAGGAGTGCAGAGGGACAGGTGGTGCGGACATTCCGAAGCAGGAGCCAATTTCCCCGCCACCGCTTTCTAAAGGGCCCATCAACCTTAAACAGAGACCTTAAGCCCACGTGGCAGAAATTTCACACCAGAGGGGAAAGTTTCTTGTCGTTTGGGGTGGGGAGGAATTTAGAAGTGGAAACGGAGAACATTGCCAAGATAGACAAACACCGCTGGTGAGCAAAGAGCAAAAAGGTCCTGAGTCGTCCAGAGAGTGGGGCAAATGGGTAAAGATGAGACTGGGGACCAAAAAGAAGGCATGAGAAGACCACAGATGCCTACATCAGGAAGGGGAGCAGATCTGGGGGAAAAAGATGAATGGCAGAGAGGAGAGATGGAGAAACCGTAGCCTAGACACAAAAAGTAAGGCCTGGGCTCTGGGTGTCAAAGGTGTACCAGTGTAGTCCTTGTCCTGGATACGGAGATTTGCAGAGTGTGAGGCACTCTGGGGAAGGAAAGGAGCAGAGACAGGAGACAGCTCTCAGCCAGATGCTGGACCAACCTACGTTCTCCCATGAGAGTGCACTGCACTGTTCCAGCACATAGCAATTTTGTACACAATTTTGTGTTAGCGCCAAGCACTGTGGACACCACCACACCCGTGGACATAGCTCATTCAAAGATATACCAGCCCGAGTGAATATAGAGGCTAGGGTTGGTGCCAACCTGGCAGCTACAAGGTTTTCTGCATCACCAGAGACTGCAGGTGGGCCAATGACCAGCTCCCTGGGATCCAGTGCCTCTGTTCCAAGCCCCTTACCCAGCCTGCTACTGTTATTGCAGATTATGAAATGCTCTCCCTGTCCTGCATTCTTCTCTGAGGCAAGAATTTTAATGTATTTGTCTTTGTCATCAGGGGACCTGGGTTCTGGGATAGCCCTGAGAAGGGAGCGCCCCAAATATCTACTCTTTGCTCATTCCAGACCCCGGGCTTTCTTGGTTCTCCCCCCTCCCCCTTGCACACCCCCCCCCGTGTCCTATCCCTGCCCCTCGCTCTCCCCCCACCAGACACTGTCTCTCTGTGGGGTGGATAAAAATGATGTTATTGAAACAACAGAATTGGGAGCAGTGGCAGGGAGCAGGGATCAGCTCAGGAAACTGGGGCGTTTGCCAAGAAGCCTGCTCCCCCGCAGGCAGCCTTTCTGCCCCCACCCCCCACCTTTCCTCTAAACACACACACAGTTGGTCCCACCCCTCTTGCAATGTGCTCTAGCCAGAGTTTTGCAGAATCTTTAGCCATCCCTAGACTCTCCTAACCTTCATCCATCCTTCCACCAAGGAGCCCACTCCAGAATCACTTGACAAACACTGCTTGCAGAAGCATCAGAGCAAAGAGGGCCAGGACAGCACTTCTGCAGCCCCTAAGCAAGAACTTTGGTTCCAAGGTATTGGCCTTTGTCATGGGGCGGGGGGGGGGGGGGGAAACCAGGGCTCTGGGATTACCATGCCTTGCCTCTGCCCATAGGTGCTCCCTATAGGTGCTCCCTGAAGATATTTCCCATTATTGTTGCCCTTTGGCTGTTATCTAAACAGAGACAGATTGAAGACTTTTGTCTTTTTGCCCCCTCAAACCTTCAGTGAGGTTCTGGAAGTTTCAAGTCACTACTGTTACCTTAGTAGATTTTTTGCCCCCAGAGAGCAGAGCTGAAGAACTGAGCCACACAAACAGCTACAGATATGTATGCACACATGCACACTCAGACACGCCATCAGATGGACAGATGGACAACTCCACAGAAATCACACCCTTGCTTCCCCCACCCCTCACAATGCTAGTTAATTTTCATGAACAGGTACAGATAGGGAGACATGATGGCCTTGCTGGGGCTGAAATTCATGCCAACCACCATGATGACCACACCCATACACACACACACAGACACACACACACACTCTCGCACGGCCTCTGCATATATGTCCATATAGAGAAACAGAAGTGGTAGTGGTGTAGAGGTGAACAGCAGACAGCAATGGGCATTGGAAGCCTCCACCCCTCCCTCCATCACTCCACCCCTGCGAACCTGTAAATTCCACTGCTAGGCTCTGGTACAAAGACCCTGCAGGGGAGACTTGGGTGTCTGGCTGTGGGGTTGAAGAGGAAGGAGGGGCAGAGGTGGGGACTGTGGAGGGTGGGGGGGAGAGGCAGCTGGAGACAGATAACATCGGAACCGCTGCAGGCAAAAGCAGAGTGCTCTGTCTCCACTGGTTTCTCTCTCTCTCTCTCTCTCTCTCTCTCTCTCTCTCTCTCTCTCTCT